CTCTCTCTCTCTCTCTCTCTCTCTCTCTCTCTCTCTCTCTCTCTCTCTCTCTCTCTTAAATTTCAATCTGACAAGCAAAATATGGATTGTGGTTTCTTTACCAGACAGTTGAAATCAAAGTCAAAATGGACTGTGATGGATGTGAAAGAAGAGTGAAGAATGCTGTTAAGAACATGAAAGGTATCCATTCATCCACTCTGTCTCTCTATCTGTCTGTAGATCTGCTTTTCTAAGTGCTTTGATTTATTATTTTATAAGGTGTGAAGACTGTGGATGTTAACAGAAAGCAAAGCCGAGTAACAGTTAGCGGATATGTGGAGCCAAACAAGGTGTTAAAGAGAGTAAAGAGCACAGGAAAAAGAGCCGAATTATGGCCGTACATACCTTACAACTTGGTCAGTTATCCGTACGTTAATCAAGCCTACGACAAAAGGGCTCCGGCTGGTTTTGTTAAGAATGTTGTTCAGGCTGTGTCAGCCCCAAATTCTACAGATGAACGGATGACCTATCTCTTTAGTGACGATAACCCTAATGCTTGTTCAATCATGTGATACATATACTTACTATATTTAGTATAATTAAGTTCAATCTTTCTTTACTTGGTTGTTTGCTTTTGGCGTTATAAGTAGTAGCAATATGATGTGGTGAATTGTACGTTTAGATACAGTTTGTCATGCCTCGTAATCGAGATATAGTTTTTGTATCTGAGAGGCTCATGCAATCGAAATTACAAATAATATGATGACATATTATGTAACTTCCCCTGCAATATATATTTCATCATTTGTACTTAATATCTTTTTAATTAGTCGACTGTTATTTCTTTAAAAAGATGAAAGGTATTTTGAAAACCATTACTCGAGAGCTCCGAAAATAAAAATGTGTTAAACGACTAAGATTTTATTACAAGTCTTGAATACGGTTAATATATTTATGTAAAAGGAGTACAATATTCCTAAAAGAGTAAAGGAGGGCATACAGATAGGCAGGAAGCAACGCTGACGAGAACTTTTTATCCTGCTTATTCGTTCGGCAAAGAGCCTAAAGCATCTACATTTACAATTTTAAAGCTATTATCATGATAAATAAATGTATCTCTTGTTTATTATTACTTTTAAGTTAAAATTCCACCACCATATATACATGCAACGATGCAACCCAATCCAACAAATATATTTTTTTTATGTCCAAAACGATTGGCAATTGACTTTTTGGTATCTAACGAGTAATCTATGCGCCTAAAATGATCAAAAACTATTTTTGTCATGTGAAAATATTATAGCTACGTTTAAGTTTTAACTGTGAGATAAATAAAGGAAAAAAAAAAACTTCGAACATATTGGAAAAAGATGAGAGAATCGATGTCCAATTTACGTCTAGACGTACGAAGTTTGAATCTTTAAAAGTCAAAACGAAACATGTTCTTGAATGATGGGTATTGCGTATCTTAATGATGTATGCTAGTTCTTCATTCATACCCATTCTTTTTTCTAGAAACATCAATTTTTCGGTCTTACTATTCTTATCAAGAAACTTTAGAGATTCTTTCAAGCATTCTGCTTTACTTTCTTTCACCATCACATTTGGGTTTGTTCGTTTTGTTATCAAGCCATTCGATGTATAAGATCGCAAATTCTATCCTACGCTATATATGCATTGAATGTTTTGTTCTGGTCCATTAATGACATAAACATGTGTTCATCTAGGTGGTTCTCATGTAATGGCTACACAATATTCTTCTCAATAAATCTTTGAGTGCACAAATATACCCTTAAATATGTGACAGCAAATTTGAAATGATTCTGCAAAATAGAAATGGAAGAAAGAATGAAGGGTTTGTAAAAGGTCAAATCGACATATAAGTGTTCAAAAGCGAAACATGATTTTTGTAAAGCTAAGCTTTTGTTAGGAAGAATGGATTCTTGGTTGCCACAACAATATGCTCGTAGAACGTTTAGCCATAAAGCAAGGTTATTGTTTCATTGTCTCATTAACTTGTTAAACGAATATATTTTATCTCAAATAACTACAATCTAAAAAAACAGTGGTAATTGGTAAAGTTGGAAATTCAAATGCAAGAGATAATTAGCATCATGACACTAGTAGAGAAAAGAGATTTAATGACATACGAAACATAAACAAATTATTATGACAGGCAACATTCTGTCATAAATATCATGTCATCGTTTGTGTATTTGTAATGATTTACGACATACAAAATGTATGTCGTAATCATAAACTGAAATAAAAGAAAACAATGTGCGATCCTTTTCAATTATGTTGGTTGTCTCTTTATCGCCGTTTTATATTTGCTGCTTATATACAAATATTTCGTCTCCTTTTGAAACACGTACATTACAATGGGTGATTTATGGTTTGATTTAGTTTTTCCTCTCACACTTGTCGCTTTCGTCTCTCTCCTCCGCCACATATGTCAGTCACCACCACCATTAGCATGTCATGTTGACATTACTACAAATCAATAAATAGAAAACGTACTTTATAAGGAAATTGGCACATAGAGTATGGTCAGGAAAACGGAAATGTGCTTTATTAGGGATTTTCCCATGGCTTCCTCGCTCCTCTTATTCTCGTTGTAACTTCTCTTATCATCCTCTTCTGAGTTGATTTTTTTAATACTTTCAATGTGTTCTTGAAAAATATTTTGGTTCAACTCTAACCTATTCTTGCAAACGCCATTTTATATTCAGGTAATGACATGCTTGGAATAATCTTTTAAATTCCCTTTACATTTTGACTTCTTTGAATAATATGGTTTTGTTAATTAATGCAAACATGAACATCCTGGAAGAACTTATTTACTTTGCTAACCTAAAGACAACCATGATCTTGAGTTTCTTGAGCATTACTTATAAAGCTTCGTACTTGTCATTACCATTCTTTGTTTCTTTATAATTCATTAAAGAACAATTCTCCGAGTATATTCCTTGTTGATTAAATCAAAAGCACAGAAGCCATATTATTTACGTGGTTCGGTCAAGGTGACCTACGTCTACGGGCAGAAAGGGAATATTCTTTATTTATGAGCTCTCAAACAGAGGATACAAGTACAATTCAACAGAGATTCATCCATCACTCTAGTGTTGGATCTATATGCCCAAAAATCTTTATTGGAGTGATATTGCTAATAATATATGATCATATAGGGTCACACTTTTACCAAGTTGGCACATTTTGTATATTTATTATTAATATGATTATTAATAAATAATATCAATTCTTGTATTTTAATCAGGGAATAATTATTGTTTTATGAAAATAATAATTATAAGAGAGTATAACTAATTATTAGTAAGTCATACACACTATTTTCGACTAGTTGGATTCTTTTGTCTTTTACCTAAAGACAAAATTTATATTTTATAAACTTGGAGTTTATAAAAAATATAGAATCTTACTTTTTAAAAGGCATAATGATGGTGTAGGAGGTTGCTTTTTCAACCTTCCACCTTTTGTCTCACATGCTTCTAAAGGCTACCATTACTTTAGATTATTTTAATGGTTACGCCTTACTTTTCAAGGGCTATATAAGAGATTCATGAGGCATGCATTTTTGCAAGAGTGAAACTCTTCTTTCTTCCCTTCTTTCTCTCTAAATCCATGAGCATGAAGAAGCTCTTTTCTTTTGAAGTTTGGTGCTTTCCTTTGGTGATTAGAAGACCTCTTGAGTTGTTCCCTTTAGTGCTTAATTGAGTTAAGCACTTAAAGGCTTTAGATACTCAAGAATACAAGAAGGAACTAGCATTCCAAGTGTCTTACTCTTGATGGTGGATACTTGTAGAAAAGATCATAGACTTTGATCTTTTGTTATCTTCATCAACACCCCAAAACGAAGTGGGTTCAAAGGCTTCAAAGGGTATCTCTAAAACATCATATGGTTGGTTTTATTTCATTCTAACCTCTATGAATGGATCCATGATGGTTCGGTTTTATTATGAACTAAAAATAAACTCGTTATTTTTAAAGTTTTCCGTTGCCGGTTTTTGTGAAAAACAAACTTTTATTTCGTATCAAAACCCAACAGTGGTATCAGAGCCATCTTTTATATGTTAGAATGATTTTTTATGTTTGATAATCTTTGGTTTTCGGAAAACAAGCATGAATTTCTTTTGGTTAAGAAAAATTCATATTTGTCTTCATTGGCAACTTCTTGGTTAAAATTGTTAATTTTTATATATAACTATTTTTCATGCATTTTGACTATATAAAAGTTGCCTTAGAAAAAACAAAGAGTTGTTTGTTATAATATTTTGATATGTTAATGTGTATAAACAAGCCATTTGTACATTTGTATTTGGTTGATATTTATTTATTCATAAGATGTAATAGATAAATATATATTTTTTCATTTGTTGACTTGTTGTAATAAATTAGTTAGACTAGTTGTATTCCTTTTAAATGTAACAAGATGAAGAAATAACCACCTTGAAGATCTTTTTAAGTGTCCATTAAGTCTTTTAGGAAATACTTAATAATTCTTGTGATGACTCACAAAAAATATTATTAGACATGGCTTTGTTTATACACATTATAATACATGCTTGTGATGTTTATTTTATGTTAAATATATGTTATGTTTTATGTATGAAAATGGTTTTTACATGTCAAATAACATTTTTTCATAAGATAATATCACTTGGAGTTTGAGTAAAAAAAATATTTAAAATACAACATAAGATGTTTATAAATGGATATTTATAAAAACGTTTTATCAGTTTACCGGTTAAAACTCAATTTTCTTGAAAATAGTTTTATTGTAAAACTTATAAATACCCAACTTTAAAATATTAGAAATGGTTTAAAAGATGTTTAAACTTTATATAAACTCCATGTCTTTATAATAAATGAAGAGTTTTTATTAAAAAGACTAAAATTGGTTTATTGCGTTATAACGGCAAATAATAAACTAGTGATTATTTTTTACGTCGTGTCACACCCCCGGACCAGAACGACGGAAACGTCCGGAGGCGGGTGACTTCATTGTGCAGTATCATAACAATTGAATATAAATGAAAGATAGAAAATCCAAACGTCATACATTAAGATACCAAACTTACATTGTTTTACATCATGGTTATGTTCTCAAATTACACAAAAGAGACATTAGTAAGTAAAAGCAAAATAATCCTGAGTCCGCGATCCATAAACCTGCTTATTGATTTTCTGAGAATACAAGTCGTTTGAAAAGCGTCAACATAAAATATGATGGTGAGTTCAAAAGCATTTTTGTATAAAAATTTGGCGATAGTTTAGAAATCCAGAAAATCCAATATTTTCTTATCAAAACAGTTGTAAGTCTTGTTTCAAATCAAGTATAGTTGCATGTGTGTCTTAGTTTATCATTTTCGAAATCGTATAAAATCGTTTTCTCCATAAAATCCTATATTTTCTGATAAATAACATAGTAGCCTTAAACACTTTAACACTTGTGTGGAAAATTTCGTTTGAGGTAACCAAAACATAGTTGATTACAAAGAAAAAGGTGAAATCCGCGTAAATACATTTTTGATATATTCTAGCGAGTCGTTATAACCATACTAATATGACGGAGTGTCGGGTTCGATTAAGACATTTGTCACCCTAGACTAACCGGTCTAGCTGTAGCAAAGAACAAAGGTATAGGGTGTCAACCCCGTATAGATCTATATACAAATTCCCGCTCTCCCTCCAGGAGACTCTGGTTATAACTCTTACAGGACTTCAACGTACACTCATATATATATATATATATATATATATATAT